AAGAACTAGTTAGAAAGTCTTATTATCTCAGTTAGGGGGTCTGATATTCTTTAGCACAAGTTAGAGTGTCTGATATTGTTACCAGTCATATGACTTTAATTAATGTCTTTCTTCATTTTTGTCATAATTCTCAACATTATAATGTTGTTTTTTTACTTTGTTTCAGAAGAAAAAGGAGTGCTAATAGAATAATTGTAAATAGTGGTAATATCTTTGCTAATCCCACCTATAACAGTAGTGAAAACCGTGTCATTATTGCCAAGAGGGAAAGGGATATGAGGACATGGAGATACTATGCTAAAGAGGTGAGCAGACTTCAAACCATCAATATGTATAAAATAATTTTTATATATTAGTCTTAATCAGCAAGTACTGTTGCATCCAATTTTACTTGGATAAAGTTTGGTATGCAATTTTTGAAAAAAAACAACAAATATTTCAACCTAGCTTGTTACACATTTAGAGGGGCAAATTTCAGGGAACATGCTCTTCTAGAAACTTTCTGGAGAAAAAAATGTAAAATCACAACAACCGCCATTGTTTTGTTTTTTTCAAGTTCTGTCATACAAACTGTTACATGTGCTCCTCATTTCAGGGCCATCAAATAAAATGGTTCATACTGGGTTTAATTTCCTTGATAAGTGAAAAGTATTGTTATTTTTAAATTCAACAAAACGCTTATAGGGGTAAAATTTAAGCTCATGCATGTTCACATAGTTTGGTGACCCCCCCCCCTGCCTCCCATCATTACTCTCTTATGCAAAAGAACACAATGCTCCCGATATATTGATTCTAATATTAACATTTCATAATTGTATTAATATTTCTTCAGGACCGCTTATCAAGTGCGAACTTATTGGAGAAACTAAACAATCGGGAAGCTGCAGGTGGGAAAAATGTCACAAAATCTGATGTTGCTGAAGCGGTTTGTGGCATTGGAGCGGCTGCTGTAGGAGTATCTGGTGTACAAGGCGAGGCTGCATGCTGTTCATACAATGATTTGCCCATGAAAAAAGACAATATGGGAAATTTATATGTGGCTGCGCGGACAAAACCTATGAACGAAGACCCACAGTCTGATGAAGATGTTATGTACGACGATGACAGTGACGTTAGTGACAACATAGAGGAATATGAACCAGATGATAAACCACCGTGTACTGTGAACTTGGAAACCGAAATTTGAGAAACAAATATGGTGATTGGCTTGTCACATCGTGAAATGTACATAGATGTATGAAAGCCATTATGAATCCACCTACATGTTATAATGACTGCGCCTTTTTGATGAAAAAACATTCTGAGAAGTCGTATGTGCTGCTGCGATGAATTTGTTTGCTTTGGATGTGTTGATAAATTAAATTAAACAACAAAATTATTCCATTAAAATGACAAATGGAATGAATATTTTGTGTTTTTTTATTTTTTTAATTTATTGATTATTTTTATTACATAGATATGCATATAAATATTTACAAATGTTGACATTTAGTATTGTTTTAAAGTCGTACCTCAGTTTGCTGTGTTCTCAACATAATTTTTTTTATTGTTTTGTCATATACTGTCGGTATATGTAATCACACTTACGTTTATGTAAAATATATATATTTTTTAAAGAGGAGCAGCGATAGGTGAGATTTACCAAACAAACAAATAATAGATTGTTACCTGTTTTTAAAATTGTTTGATCCAATCAAACATGAGTAGATGTATATTTTTTTTTAATAACAGATTGTAATACAGCCAACTGAATACAATGTAGTCTTATATTTAATTGAATGTTCAAGATTAAGAAGAGAGGCCAAGGGGAAAACTACAATAATAATTTAGGTCATAGGTCATTCAAGCCTCTAGCGATGTAAACTGCAGTTAGACAAATACTGTAATAGATAGATGAAAGCTTTCAACTCTCTTCTATTGCCAGTGATGAATATGTAGCGAGTATTCGAATTATAATATTCTAATCAAATGAAATACAATTTTAACATAATTTTTCTTGACTTCATAAATACTGTCATTGCATTTTCAATATATTTCAAGTTCTAATTTATATTGAGATTGCGTATTTCAGTAAATGATGGAAAATCAGTTGATGAAATAATGATCTCTGACACTCGCTCAAAACTCAGCATAAATTAGTGATAATTTGTTTTTGTTTTATGTAAACTCAGAGGATATAATTATGTGTCAGAAATCAGTATTATTATTTTTCTATACAAAACGGTATTTCAGCTAACTTCATTGTATATTGATTGTATTGTAGTTTTGATAAATGTAAAGCCTTAGTATCCCGGGGGTGGGATGTGTTTGATGACCAATCAGCTATATTTTAACTGTGAATATTAATGACGTATTTAATTATGCTACCATCATATATGATATTAAATTCTTAGTGTACTACATGGCACTAATATGCAGGCACAGAATTACTTCATGGACTGCTCAAATTCTGTACCCTATTTCCTGTTGTTTGCAATAGATAAATATATACTTATATATACTTATAACAGGTGTGATATGAAGCTATATCAAATTTAAAACGTTTTGTAATTCCCTTCTTTGTAAGTGTGATTGACTGCCAAGTATTATCAAGATTATGATGATAAAAAAATAATTAATTATTAATGTTACATTTACTATTAAATTTTTTTTATACTGAAACCCATTGAAAGGTTCTGCTTGCGATTTGATACTTCTTATCTGAAAAGATAAATGAAAAAAAAAAATGTCAACAGTTTCCGATTTTGACAGGATTTTGTTAATATTCAGATATAGCTTTTTTTTCATTCTTCAATTCCTATATTTGATACAACTGTATTTTCGATAGGTCAAAGGTTTGTAATGTTTATATAACTAATTATATACTGTATTCAAAGATACTCAAAGTTGTAACTGAACAAATGTGAAATTAATTATATATGCCGTAGAGTCAAATTCCTCTGTTCTCTGGAATTGTCCTGATATTGTTTGTTCATCTTAAGGATGGATTAATTTGGTCATATTATTTCTGCGCGACTGATACAGAGGGTGGATAAATGTAAGGGCTGACAACTTCTTTAATGATGGGTGATATACAATGAAATCTCCTTGAAGCTATGTAGTGGGTTTGTCTGTATGACAATTAACATGACTGTATATATATATATATATATATTTGTAAACACAGATATCAATTCATAATTCTGTTAGAAGTAATTCTAGAAACTCATCACTTAGATGACGGAAGCTAAAAAACAACAGTATCAGATTTCCAATGTGATTTCAATGAGACTTGCATCAGTTGTCCAAGAAGTTGTTTACCCGTTCTTTTATTTGCCCTTTGTGGTCACTGGATAGATGTTTAAATTGTTGAAACTCTGTAGCTAATACACTGCATGTAAATGTTGTCTATTTCAGCTGTGCTGTTAGATTACAATGTACAGGTATTATTTATTGCAGCATTTCTGGTTACAACACAAGCTTTGTTATCTTTCATAGCAAAAAAAAAATAATCATGTTACTTTGTTTCTAGAGATTGATTTATAATACTTACTAAATAGTGCATTGTTTTTGGTATGTATTATTGAGTTATGGGGAGGGAGGGAGGGAGGGAGGGAGGGGAATCACATACTGCCATAGCAATGAGTAATTTTCATATAGGTGATATTAATTCAATGACTTGTTGCTCATAAACAGTGTGACAGTAATAAGTCAGTTCTTGTATATGAAAATAAATAGAACTATTACTCTATTTAAGTAAACAAAAAACATTCTTGTACGAGTTATCTTTTTTAGCTCCGCTGTCGACTTTGTCGAGCGGAGCTTATCATATGAGTGATTGTCCGTCGTCCGTGTCAATGTTTTACTTTTTCGACTTCTTCTTGAAAACTACAAGCCTGAATGCTTTGATACTTGGTGTATATGTACCTTGGGTAGACCTCTCTTAGGTTTGTTCATTTCATGTTGATATCTTCAATTCTCTAATTTTGGTGAATATTTTTGTCATTTTTGGTAAAAAGTGATATTTTCGACTTCTTGTTAAAAACCGCAAGTGCAATTGCTTTGATATTACATATATAGGTACTACATGTGGACCTCTCTCAGATTTGTTCATTTTGTAATGATATCTTTAATTCTCTAATTTTGGTGAATATTTTTGGTAAAAAGTGATATTTTCGACTTCTTGTTAAAAACCGCAAGTCCAATTGCTTTGATACTACATATATAGGTACTACATGTGGACCTCTCTCAGATTTGTTCATTTCGTGATGATATCTTCAATTCTCTAATTTTGGTGAATATTTTTGTAATTTTTGGTAAAAAGTGATATTTTCGACTTCTTGTTAAAAACCAAAAGTTCAATTGCTTTGATATTACATATATAGATACTACATGTAGACCTTTCTCAGATTTGTTCATTTTGTGATGATATCTTCAATTCTCTATTTATTTTGGTGAATATTTTTGTAATTTTTGGTAAAAAGTGATATTTTCGACTTCTTGTTAAAAACTGTAAGTCCGATTGCTTTGATACTATTCATATTGTTCATTTTCTAATGATGTCTTCAGTTCTTTAATTGAAATGTGCATTGCTAACAGCGGAGCTATCTCAGCCGATAGGCTGCTTGTTTTAGTCCCTGTTCAGACGCAGTCCGAAAACAGCGACAGATTAACCTCTGTGCATTTGTGCGTCTTTGTATCTTAGACATGGCTGGACTGATTACATTCCAACTTCACACATACATCAACATCGTATTATACATAATATGCACATTAATTTGTTTGATTCAAGATGGCTGAATAGCGGCCAATTTTGTACTGAAAAATCATCAAATTCAATCATTTATGGATGAGTTTTGTTCAAACTTGGATATATATGTTCGACCTTATAGGACCTGATGCACGTCATTTAATTTTCAGATCGGATTTAAAATGGCCGACTGGCGATCATTTTTTAGCTCCGATGTCGTTCATATAACTGATTGTCAGCGTCGTCAACTTTACAATTTCAACATGTTCTTCGAAACCGCAAGTCAAAATGTTTTTCAAATTTGATATGTAAGTACCTTGGATGGTTCCTTCTGAGAATTGTTCATTTCATGCCAAAATCTCAAATTCTCTATTTTTGGTGAATATTTTTGTAATTTTTGGTAAAAAGAGATATTTTTGACTTCTTGTTAAAAACCGCAAGTCCAATTGCTTTGAATATTACATATATAGATACTACATGTGGACCTCTCAGATTTGTTCATTTTGTGATATCTTTAATTCTCTAATTTTAGTGAATATTTTTGTCATATTTTCGACTTCTTGTTAAAAAGTCCAATTGCTTTGATACTATACATATTGTTCATTTTCTAATGTCTTCAGTTTTTTAATTGAAATGTGCATTACTGACAGCGGAGCTATCTCGGCCGATAGGCTGCTTGTTTAATGGATGCAGTTCTAGTGCCATATCTCTGCCATGCTTTGACTGATTATGTTCAAATTTTATATATTCATTATACGACCGGAATCGTATTTAAGAATCCTTTGGGCCGATTCCGTTCATTCTTTGCATGTGTCTAGTACTTTATGTGGGACATGTGCACATGCAGTGGTTTAGCGATTCAATTCAAAATGGCCGACTGGCAGCCATCTTGTTTTTTGAAAATGTATTTTGGATATGCTTTGTCAGTTTTCGTTCAAACATTCCTGCAAATACAACTATTTGTGAGTAATTACTGTTTGAAATATTGAGCTTGCAAGGACTACTTCCTCAAAATTTGATAGAATCTGGCAACTCTGATACAGTACATTTATTATAATGAAAAGTACAAATATTCTTGTTTTAACAGTTACTACATATAATGAGAAATGTTGGAACTGATATCAGTGGAATGATTATATCTGTTCCACATTACACCATGGAGGGCAGGGTACTGTGTGTTGTGAATTACACCATGGAGGGCAGGGTACTGTGTGTTGTGAATAACACCATGGAGGGCAGGGTACTGTGTGTTGTGAATTACACCATGGAGGGCAGGGTACTGTGTGTTGTGAATTACACCATGGAGGGCAGGGTACTGTGTGTTGTGAATAACACCATGGAGGGCAGGGTGCTGTGTGTTGTGAATTTACACCATGGAGGGCAGGGTACTACGAACACATTTGGGTAGAAGCCTGACCTTAGTTCCAGCTGATCTACCCTGTGTATAGCGCCCTTTTCGAGCAAAACTGCTACTTCTTGCCTGATTGCTTCCGCCTTGC